TGTGTGTGTGGCCCCTTGCATGTGTGTGGCCCCTTGCATGTGTGTGGCCCCTTGCATGTGTGTGGCCCCTTGCATGTGTGTGGCCCCTTGCATGTGTGTGGCCCCTTGCATGTGTGTGGCCCCTTGCATGTGTGTGGCCCCTTGCATGTGTGTGGCCCCTTGCATGTGTGTGGCCCCTTGCATGTGTGTGGCCCCTTGCATGTGTGTGGGCCCCTTGCATGTGTGTGGCCCCTTGCATGTGTGTGGCCCCTTGCATGTGTGTGGCCCCTTGCATGTGTGTGGCCCCTTGCATGTGTGTGGCTTCTTGCATGTGTGTGGCCCTTTGCATGTGTGTGGCCCCTTGCATGTGTGTGGCCCCTTGCATGTGTGTGGCCCCTTGCATGTGTGTGGCCCCTTGCATGTGTGTGGCCCCTTGCATGTGTGTGGGCCCTTGCATGTGTGTGGCCCCTTGCATGTGTGTGGGCCCTTGCATGTGTGTGGCCCCTTGCATGTGTGTGGCCCCTTGCATGTGTGTGGGCCCTTGCATGTGTGTGGCCCCTTGCATGTGTGTGGCCCCTTGCATGTGTGTGGCCCCTTGCATGTGTGTGGGCCCTTGCATGTGTGTGGCCCCTTGCATGTGTGTGTGGCCCCTTGCATGTGTGTACTCACCTAATTGTGCTTGCGGGGGTTGAGCTTTGGCTCTTTGGTCCCGCCTCTCAACTGTCAATCAACTGGTGTACAGATTCCTGAGCCTACTGGGCTCTATCATATCTACATTTGAAACTGTGTATGGAATCAGCCTCCACCACATCACTTCCTAGTGCATTCCATTTATTAACTACTCTGACACTGAAAAAAATCTTTCTAACGTCTCTGTGGCTTATCTGGGTACTAAGTTTCCACCTGTGTCCCCTTGTTCGTGTCCCACCCGTGCTGAAGAGTTTGTCTTTGTCCACCCTGTCAATTCCCCTGAGAATTTTGTAGGTGGTTATCATGTCTCCCCTTACTCTTCTGTTTTCCAAGGATGTGAGGTTCAGCTCCTTTAGCCTTTCCTCGTAGCTCATTCCTCTCAGTTCCGGGACGAGCCTGGTGGCATACCGCTGAATCTTCTCTCACTTTGTCTTGTGTTTAACTAGGTATGGACTCCAGGCTGGAGCTGCATACTCCAGGATTGGTCTTACATAAGTGGTATACAGGGTTCTGAAAGATTCCTTACACAAGTTTCTGAAGGCAGTTCTTATGTTGGCCAGTCTAGCATATGCCGCTGATGATATTCTTTTGATGTGGGCCTCTGGGGACAGGTTCGGTGTGATATCAACCCCCAGATCCTTCTCTCTATTTGATTTTTGCAGGATTTCCCCTCCCAGATGATACCTTGTGTTCAGCCTCCTGCTCCTTTCGCCTAATTTCATCACCTTACACTTTCCCGAGTTGAACTTCAGCAGCCATTTTCTAGACCATTCCTCCAGTTTATCCAGGTCATCCTGTAGTCTCTGTCTATCTTCATCCGTCTTGATTCTTCTCATAATTTTTGCATCATCAGCAAACATCGAGAGGAATGAGTCTATACCCTCTGGAAGATCGTTCATATATATTAGAAACAGGATGGGTCCAAGTACTGAGCCCTGTGGGACTCCGCTGGTGACATCTCGCCACTCTGATGTCTCCCCCCTCACCGTTACTCGCTGTTTCCTGTTGCTTAAGTACTCCCTTATCCACTGGAGCACCTTCCCTTTTACTCCTGCCTGTTGCTCCAACTTTTTTAACAGCCTTTTATGGGGTACTGTGTCGAAGGCTTTTTGGCAATCCAGGAAAATGCAGTCGGCCCACCCTTCTCTTTCCTGCCTAATTTTCGTTGCCTGGTCATAAAATTCTATTAAACCTGTGAGGCACGATTTACCATCTCTGAACCCATGTTGGTGGTGCGTTACAAAGTTATTTCCCTCCAGATGCTCTACGAGCCTTTTCCTCACGATCTTCTCCAGCACCTTGCATGGTATACAAGTTAAGGACACTGGCCTGTAATTCAGTGCCTCTTGCCTGTTACCCTTTTTGTATATTGGGACCACGTTAGCTGTCTTCCAACTTTCTGGTAAGTCTCCTGTTTCCAGTGACCTGTTATACACCATAGAGAGTGGCACACTTAGTGCTTCTGCACTTTCCTTTAGTATCCATGGTGAGATTCTATTAGGCACAACAGCCTTTGTCACATCCAGCTCCAGCAGACACCTTTTGACCTCATCACTGGTGAGGTCAAATTCCTCCAAGGTTGCTTGGTTTGCCGCCTCCTCATTTAGTGCAGGGGCTTCTCCTTGTTCTATTGTGAAGACCTCCTGGAATCTCCTGTTGAGTTCTTCACACACCTCCTTGTCATTCTCTGTGTATCTGTTCTCCCCTTTCCGCAGCTTCATCACTTGTTCCTTCACTGCTGTTTTCCTCCTGATATGGCTGTGGAGCAGCTTTGGTTGGGTCTTGACTTTACTCGCAATGTCATTTTCAAACTGTCTCTCTGCTTCCCTCCTCACTCTGATGTACTCATTTCTGGCCCTCTGGTACCTCTCCCTGCTCTCTGGTGTTCTGTTATTTCTGTAGTTTCTCCATGTTCTTTTACTCAGTTGTTTCGCTACCTTACATTCCTGGTTGAACCATGGGTTTTTCTGTTGTTTTTCGTTTTTTTCCTTTTGGACGGGGATAAACCTGTCTGCAGCTTCCTGGCACTTTTGGGTGACAATATCCATCATGACCTGCACATTCTTGTCTCTAAGTTCTGTTTCCCATGGTATTCCCATTAGGAAGTTCCTCATCTCGTCATATTTTCCTCTTCGGTAATTCAGTCTTTTCCCCTCCACTCCCATCCTTGGATAGGTTATCCCTACCTCCACCAAGTACTCTTGCGGCCCCTTGCATGTGTGTGGCCCCTTGCATGTGTGTGTGGCTCCTTACATGTGTGCGGCCCGTTGCATGTGTGTGGCCCCTTGCATGTGTGTGGCCCCTTGCATGTGTGTGGCCCCTTGCATGTGTGTGGCCCCTTGCATGTGTGTGGCCCCCTTGCATGTGTGTGGCCCCTTGCATGTGTGTGGCCCCTTGCATGTGTGCGGCCCGTTGCATGTGTGTGGCCCCTTGCATGTGTGTGGCCCCTTGCATGTGTGTGGCCCCCTTGCATGTGTGTGGCCCCTTGCATGTGTGTGGCCCCTTGCATGTGTGCGGCCCGTTGCATGTGTGTGGCCCCTTGCATGTGTGTGGCCCCTTGCATGTGTGTAGCCCCTTGCATGTGTGTGGCCCCTTGCATGTGTGTGGCCCCCTTGCATGTGTGTGGCCCCTTGCATGTGTGTGGCCCCTTGCATGTGTGCGGCCCGTTGCATGTGTGAGGGCCCCTTGCATGTGTGTGGCCCCTTGCATGTATGTGGCCCCTTGCATGTGTGTGGCCCCTTGCATGTGTGTGGCCCCCTTGCATGTGTGTGGCCCCTTGCATGTGTGTGGCCCCTTGCATGTGTGTGGCCCCTTGCATGTGTGTGGCCCCTTGCATGTGTGTGGCCCCTTGCATGTGTGTGGCCCCTTGCATGTGTGTGGCCCCTTGTATGGGCCCCTGGTGATGAGCTCCGTCACTCTAGTGATGAGCTCCGTCACTCTAGTGATGAGCTCCGTCACTCTAGTGATGAGCTCCGTCACTCTAGTGATGAGCTCCGTCACTCTGGTGATGAGCTCCGTCACTCTAGTGATGAACTCCGTCACTCTAGTGATGAACTCCGTCACTCAGGTGATGAGTTCCGTCACTCTAGTGATGAATCTCATCACGTCACCTGGCCAGCCCTCAGCAAACATTTACGAGGCCACATACGAAACCTGTACATCTTTCCCTCCATCATTTTACGAACTTGTACCTTTATAAAGTCTACAACAACAACATTAAACATGTCAGTCAGCTCACAATGATGTCTTTATTTGTAGCATTAAACGGCTGAGTTCACTTCCAGTTATTTACGGTATTTAGCCTTGTGGATGGAGGAGGTTTCACCCTGATGCTTCTGTTCACCAAGCAGTAAATAGGTACCTGGGAGTTAGACAACTGGCCAGTCTCGCGTAGACAAAAATAAACAAAAAATTAGAAATTTCGTCTCATTTTCCTAGGGGGAGACTTACGCATAACAGAATCACTTTTTTGTGTGATAATTCTAGCAATACTTCTTATGTAGTGATCATGTATCCTCTGTACCTGTCCCGGGACGTGATATTAAACTGGTCTGGGACATAATAAGGGTCCTGGGGCCAGATTCACGAAGCAGTTACGCAAACACTTACGAACGTGTACATCTTTCCTCAATCTTTGACGGCTTTGGTTACATGTATTAAACAGTTTACAAGCATGAAAACTTGCCAATCAACTGTTGTTATTGTTATGAACAGCCTCCTGGTGCTTCGGAGCTCATTAACTGTTTAATAATTGTAAACAAAGTCGCTACCCGCCAAACACACACCGAAACTACGACGTTGGTACAACGTTGGAACAAGTTTTAACACCTCACCAGTTATAACAACCAATAAAGCAAGTTGTAACAACGTTCTAATACGTCATAAACACGTTAAGCCAAGATGTAACAACTTTATTACAAGTTGTAACAAGCGGAAAATAGAGACAGTTACGGTTTGTGTTTCCAGGGCAAAGATTGAGAAAAAGATGTACAGGTTCGTAAGTGCTTGCGTAACTGCTTCGTGAATCTGGCCCCAATATTTACAACTCTGTGATATGCAAACATGAGCGCTCACATTCCGCGGGGGCGCACGCGCGTCCGCACCATATGTGGCGGAATTGCCTGTTTCCCATTTTATTCCAATTTCATCTGGGACCTCTAAGGTACAGGTCCGAGCTCAAGCCCCCGATGATAAGAGTGAATTAAATGTTATTATTATATATAACAAATGAACGGAATTATTGGATGAATGTGAAAGCTTTACTTGTGATGTAAGTAATTATATAAGGTTTTGTTTGTATATATAAGTTGAATTATTTAGTATTATTGGTTGTCATTTGTTTGCAGGGAGACGAACAACGCCCGCTGATTGGCTTATCCACAAAGGACTGACGTCACAACTAAGCCACTGGTTCCGCCCACCTGGAGTGACGTCACAACTAAGGCATTAGCTCCGCCCACCTGGAGTGACATCACAACTAGGGCATTAGCTCCGCCCACCTGGGGTGACGTCACAACTAAGGCATTAGCTCCGCCCACCTGGAGTGACGTCACAACTAAGGCATTAGCTCCGCCCACCTGGAGTGACGTCACAACTAAGGCATTAGCTCCGCCCACCTGGAGTGACGTCACAACTAAGGCATTAGCTCCGCCCACCTGGAGTGACGTCACATCTAAGGCATTAGCTCCGCCCAGCTGGAGACTATTTAAAACCTAGCAACTGGCTCCTCCCACTTACAGTGACGTCACAACTAAGCCGCTTGCTCCGCCCACCTGGAGTATGGTCAACTCTACCCTCCACGCACAGTATAGTTGAGACCCGCTATAACCACTCCCCACACTAGCACCCACACAAGCAGTTAACGCCCTTCACAATATCATGTTCAACGACCCACTAAAAGATTCGCGTCCGGCGCGCTAGAGATGACTTTATGGCGGTACTCGGCATCCCCTCAGACTGTGAGTGACGTCACGCGGTCTAGCCCCGCCCACCATGTCATTCGTAAGCAATTGCTAATATATATTCAACAGTTCTCTGCAAGAGAAAATCCTTTGCACTATAAAGCATTTTTTATACACATAATGCAAAAATTAGTTGCATTATACAGTATTTCATAATACATAATAGACTTTCATCAAAATATACGAAAGAGTCCGTTTCGAATGTGTAGTTGACGGCCATATTAACCGACTGTGATTTAAATATAAATCAAACTATGTATATAGTCAGAGGGATACTTCTCAGTGTATATTCTCTGCTAGTTTATACAGTAATACTGAACTTTGCTCCAGAATGCTGGCTCCCAGGAATCTTGACTTCCTAAATCCTCTCTCAGGAAAAAGGCTTCCATAAGCCTAGCGCCTGAACACCCAGTAAATCCCTTGCTACAAGAAACATTGTGATATATATATATTGCGTTGCGGTTAAGGAGACTGTAGTGTTATGTGCGCTGCACTAGCTACAGGAAACATTTATTGTTGGTTTTCAAAAACACTGTTGATCAATTCCCCGGAAATATATTGCTCAAGAACGGATAGGTCAACAGGAAACAACTGAGGTACGAGAGCGTATAGGTCCTAGCCAGGCTAGGCTCCGTCCCTAGCTGTAATATCTCAGCTCCTAGCCACGCTAGGCTCCGTCCCTAGTTACACTATCTCATCGAGCCACGGTATTCAAGACATTCAAACCTAGCCCCTAGTCACACTATTACCCTAGCAATATCCTTAGTCAGGATTCTAGTATTTTTTTCCTGTCAGATTATCCAAGTCACTACTTTTGTGCGACAACTTAACTATTTATAGCTAGCGGCATCTACCTTGCGACATCTTAACTAGCTGGCGGCATCTAACTTGGGACCCAATTACCCGAGTCGTTAAGCATGGCATGCTAGGTCCTAGTCATGCTATAGCAATCTCCTAGCAATGCAATTTATGTGTTTTGTACATGGAAGCGGTGGCCTAGCCCCCTAGCAAGACTCTCCCAGTCCCCAGTAATCCTTACGAACTACCCTAGCACCTGACGATGCTAACAAAACACCTAGCGACCCCTAGCACCTAAGGAATTATCCTAGGATCTAATGGTGTTGTCATACTCCCTAAGAGACAATTTCATAGTAACGCTATCCTAGTATCGCTCTCCTAGCCCTGAGCGACGTCAGCCTAACCCCTAGCGGCGCCAGCCTAGCCCCTAGCGACGCAAGCCTAGCCTCTAGCGACGCCAAACTAGCCACTAGCGACGCAAGCCTAGCCTCTAGCGACGCCAGCCTAGCCCCTAGCGACGCCAGCCTAGCCTCTAGCGACGCCAGCCTAGCCCCTAACGACGCAAACCAAGCCTCTAGCGACGCAAACCTAGCCCCTAGCGGCGCAAGCCTAGCCTCTAGCGACGCCAGCCTAGCCCCTAGCGGCCCCAGGACCCCAGCAAGATGATGAGTTACAAGCAGTGGCTGGTGCTGCTGGGGATGTACGTGGCCTTCATGCTGATGGGCGCCGTCGGGTTCCTCTACCTGGAGGAAGGCAAGGAACTGGAAGAGATGAAGAACCTCCTGGACCTCAAGCAAAAAGTTATTAGTGAGTTTCGAACCCAAGTTGTAGCTCATTGGTGGGTTTGAACCCAAATTGTAGCTCATTGGTGGGTTTGAACCCAAGTTGTAGCTCATTGGTGGGTTTGAACCCAAGTTGTAGCTCATTGGTGGGTTTGAACCCAAGTTGTAGCTCATTGGTAGCTTTTAACCCAAGTTGTAGCTCATTGGTAGCTTTTAACCCAAGTTCTAGCTCACTCCTCTCCCTCCCTCTCTCTCTCTCTCTCTCTCTCTCTCTCTCTCTCTCTCTCTCTCTCTCTCTCTCTCTCTCTCTCTCTCTCTCTCTCTCTCTCTCTCTCTCCCTCTCTCTCTCTCTCCCTCCCTCCCTCTTGGGTACTTGACGTTATAATGTAAACCTTAGCTGGGTACTTGACATTATTAAGTGTACCCTTAACCTTTAATTTTTCAAGGCTCACATATCCAGTGTTACGTTCACCGTCTAAATGCAGTCCTCACCTGTCTCAACAGTCATTTATCCCGCCTCATAAGACCACAGACGGAACAAACAATGCTTTAAGTTACTAAGGCAAGCGCGTCAATCACGATTTGGCGGTGAATTTAGATTATAAATGTTGGAAGAGGGACGGAAACGAGGAAAGTGGCGGCGAGCGAGACATCCGGGTATTCGCCCGATGCAGCGACGCCGGCCTCAAGGTCATGTAACGAAAGATATGACTGGATAGAGCAGCGGAGTCACAGCCAATCAACGACACTCTCACAGTGACGTCATCGGTGGGAGCCGAGCCGGGCTCAGCGATTGGAGCTCAGGTCATTGACCTTCCAGATACGGACGAGGACGGGCATTCCGCCAGAGCTCCAGATGAATTCCGTCAGAATAGCCAATTATGCAGTAAGTTGAGTCTAATATGAAGAGTAACAGTACTTTGTTCATACATGAAGCAGCTGGAAAACTTTTGGTGAAGGTGGAATTTCATAGTAACTTTGAGATAAAGAGATAAGTTTATCTTATCTGTAATGGTGAAAACTTAGAGAAGGGATCAGTTGTGGGTCACACATACGGCAGTGGCAGTACCCAAGTGATTATCAGTTGGCCAATCTGTGAGCAACCAGCGAGTGATGTGAACAGGCAGTGATTATTTATTAACCAATCTGTGAGTAACCAGTGACTAACGTGAATAAATAATAATATTGTGAAGAGTGACATTAAGCCAACATTACTCACCCAGTGGAGGCAATAGTTGAATCTTCTTCCGAGACAGTGAGTGAATCAGAGCAGAGGGCATTGGTCTGACGCTGAGGAGGAGGTACGCCTTACAGAGCGACGCATGCTTATAGGACATCAACGTTGTTGACGGCGGAGCTCTTCGAGGACACGTCCTCGAAGAGCTTTCAAAAGGAGGAGGATACGCGAAGATGTCACAGGAAGGTTTCCTAGTGAGTGATCTACATCATCAAGAATATTATGGAGAAGATGAGCCCGAAGATGCGTTTAACCACACGGATCAGATTAAGATTAATTACGAAGCCTCTTATTCTCCTGTGAATCAGATTAGTATGTTAAAGTAACAATATAATTGCCTAGTTTAATCGAGTAAAGCAGCATTGACTACTGAAGGTTGTGAGTGACCGTTTATTTTAAAATTGGATGAGGCTAGCAGAGGCCACCAACTATTCCAAATATATTTTTTTAGTAAATGTTTTTGTTAATTGTAAATTGTTTCCGTTTACCTCTATTTCAAACTGATGCCAGGTCTGACCAGTATGAGCGTCTGAACAACAATATATTGACCACCGAGTACGAAGAGACAAATTTGGACAGACCGGGGGAGCGTAGCCTCACCTTGGGAAACTCGAAGCCTTGGAGAAGTATTTTCCTTCGGCACTTGCCGTGTAGGTGATTACCCCGATTATTGCTGAACTGAAGAGTGTCTAGGTTGATTGATTGGTAAAGATTAAGCCACCCAAGAGGTGGCACGGGCATGAATAGCCTTACAGGTGGTCAGGTGACCTGGATCGCCACATATAATCACCTTGACACCTCACGCTGTATCCTGTCCCCTAGAGTGCTAGTCTAGCGTGTCTTCAGGGGAGTTGCTGAGGTCCTTCTGTTTTCCTGGTGCACATGGCGGTTAAGTGTTAACTTGGGGACGAGGGTAGCGTGCAGGGAAGAGAGAGAAGCATATCAGACACGCAGAAATCACAATAGCGTATGCATCAAAACAATTGCATCAAAAAAACAATAGCGTGATGCATCATGCTATTGTGATTTATGTGTGTAATGAAGTAAAGGCGAAAACGGCCTATTGACATAGCTCGAGTGCAGGGGGGAGTTGAAAACCCTGAGGAGGATCCAGTTCAGTAGAACTTCTGTTTCAGCCGTAGTATCGATTAAGGCAGCGTCTGGGATGCTCCGGACGTCGAATCGGGCAGTATAGTCTTGTGCCCTGTACTGCTGTAGAACAGTGGCAGTATCATCAGCATCCCTCTCGGCAGTATAGTGCCGAACTATACCCCGGTTAAGGAACTGTTGTAACTAACAGTGAAACCCTAGTTAGGCTTCAGTGGAAGCCTCTGGATCCTCGTGGGGTGCAGTAGTACTCCAGGTTGCAATTCTTTTACCATGTCATGGTACAGTCGCTAGAGTGCGCTTGGGAACACTCAGTTCATAGATTCGTACCTTCATCAAAGCTCCTGTGGATTTGTTCATTGATATATCACGTTAATGTGATTACTGTGTAGTATACTCACTACTGTTCCTCTTCTCCCTTCCCCCCCCCCCCCCCGTTGCTCCAGTGACCTTCAATTGTATCAACTCTGATAGGAGTTGCACACGACATACGTTAATACATAAACACGGGATATATGTATTTACTCAAACCTTCTTTTGCCACATTAAACTCTCTAAATAAGCCTTTATGACATCACCAACACTTCCGCCTGGGGTTGTTTAGGACTGAGGTCACGGCCCGTTACCTGCACGACGGTCGTCAAGGCGGCCGGTAACTCACTGACCAACCACCAAGTATTCCTCGTCATGCTCCAAGAACAAAGTCTCAGTCTATACACCGATAAATTGGGTACAAATTTCGGTGTGTGTCATCCTGACACCGCCACCAGCCCCTCAACGCGATACTCTCCCCACTAATATATATATATATATATATATATATATCACGGGAGAGATATAAGGTCGCCTCAGAAGGTTACTGGCCAAACAACAATTATACTTTATTCTGAGGGTAATTAAGGCCAAAAATAAACTATCTATATACCGGGCATACCGAGAAGCGGGGAAAGCCTCTCGGTGAACATGGCAACTCGTTTTGTTGACATACATCAGCTGAGATAACACGCGTGTGATTGGTCAGTTGTCCAGCTGAGTCGGCAACGTGACTGGCTTAGTGATAAGATAAACAATGTTGCCTTCACTCTGCTCAAAGGAAAAGTAGTGTTTTTTGCCCTTTGAGCAGAGATTGTTTATCTTATCACTAAGCCAGTCACGTTGCCGACTCAGCTGGACAACTGACCAATCACACGCGTGTTATCTCAGCTGATGTATGTCAACAAAACGAGTTGCCATGTTCACCGAGAGGCTTTCCCCGCTTCTCGGTATGCCCGGTATATAGATAGTTTATTTTTGGCCTTAATTACCCTCAGAATAAAGTATAATTGTTGTTTGGCCAGTAACCTTCTGAGGCGACCTTATATCTCTCCCGTGATATATATATATTATTACGGAGAGTATCGCGTTGAGGGACTATGAAAAAAAAGTAGTGGTGACATCATAGTACCAGAGTATATTTCAAGCAAGTACTTATCGCACTTAAAATACCCTTTACCATCGAGCATATGTTAGGCGGTGACCACTCGCTACAGGAAGAATACCAAATAGTCAAAGCACTGGCTAAATATCTCCAGTCGACCAACAATTTGGGTCACATCTGACCCGCGCCACATTTATACCTGGCGCCACCAACAGCTAAACACAGAAAACAAATGCCTGGCCGCAGCCCCAAGGATCAGCTGACGCCATAAACACAACACACCGTCCTACGGTGCGAAAAGTCTCCCTCTAACATACACCTCTGTTTTAGTCGCCGCTCCTTTATCTTCAGCACAAGGCAACAAAGCACCTTTGGAGCTCTTATCATCTTCAACATAAACGCCTCTACCAACATCAGTAAGACGGGAGACATCTCCCGTCACGCAGGGTGCAGTCGCACCTTCACAGATCTCCAGTATCAGCTCTTGATACTGGTAATGACTCAAAAGGGCCACCACTTACGGGCTATTCATGCCCGTGCCAGCTTTTGGGTGGCTTAATCTTTATCAATCAATCAATCAACATGTGTACTGGTGTAGTCATCGGGAGGACAAACCCTTCAGGCAAACTGCACCTACTATCAAGAAGAAGAAAGTAGTGGTGACCTCTATCGAGAAGCAGATAAACCAGCATCAAATCTTTTAATAACTTCGTAAGAACACCTTGGAGAATCTGGCCTAGTGGTCTTACAGAGCTCTTAAGAACCTTTGTGATACAGCCACTTAAGGTGACATACATGACGCTTAGTGCATCTACGAGGAACCGGAAGCCTTAATTATTAGTACCTCTTAACTGGATACAAATCACATTGTACTCAAGACGGTTCACCTACAGATTGTAGATCATACCTTACCTAATCCAACCGAGCCTAACACAGCCTAACCTAAACTAACACAGCCTAACCTAAACTAACACAGCCTAACCTAAACTAACACAGCCTAATCTAAACTAACACAGCCTAATCTAAACTAACACAGCCTAACCTAAACTAACACAACCTAACCTAAACTAACACAGCCTAACCTAAACTAACACAGCCTAACCTAAACTAACACAGCCTAACCTAAACTAACACAGCCTAATTTAACTCTATATTCAGTTTTGACAATCAGAAAATGAGCGTTGAACCGCCTTGGATACGATTTGACCGCACCCGTCTTGACCGTAGCAGGAATGGAGTTGCTTGCATACTGTTAATAGTGGAGTGTTTACCTTGGACAGGAGTGGTGTCCGAGCTGCACAACGGGTCGCGCGGGCCGGTGGAGGACATGATGAAGGCGGTGAGTGAGAAGTGTGACCATGACTTCCTCCAGGAGATCCAGGACCGACCCCTCACTTGGAGCCTCTGGAACTCCTTCTTCTTCACCTTCACCGTCATCACCACCATCGGTAAGTGTTTTGTTCTACGCGTCTCCCTCAGTCTCCCGTCCAGTTAGAATCGTACAACCACGTCATCACTTCTTGCTGGGTCTGGGTTCGATACCAGAGATCCAGCTGGTTGGCTATCGTTAGCTACTTGTCCTTATATCTCTTACTAGTGCTGTATAGTCATATTGGCTTCTTGCATGGTCGGCGTTCGATCAGAGTGAAGTTTAAAGAGGTTCCCCCTCTCAAACATTCTAGTCTCTTTTTTCTTTATTAACTTAAATTTTGTATCCAATTAATCTCCTTAAATCAACTGTATCAGTCGCCTCTGAAGTGGACCTCTTCAATGCATCACAGAAATTTGACTCTGACTGGAATGTTGCAATAGATTCATACAGGCTCAGCGCCTGTTGATGCCCTTATCACTCTCTGCCGTGTTGAAGGCATGTAAGGCCTTGCGCTTGTCAAGGTTCACATTAGCGTAAGCTGTATCAAGACTCCGGCTGTATATGTGCTTGAAAACACCGAGAATATGTCTTATCTATGAATAGGACAAGGAAGGGGAAGGGAATTACCAGGGGAAAGCGCTGAGCCATTACGACTATATAGCACTGGGAAGGGGTCAGGATAAGGATTTGGGATGGGACGGTGGGAAAGGAATGGTGCCCAACCACTTGGACGGTCGGGGATTGAACGCCGATCTGCATGAAGCAAGTCTTTTAATAATTTAATAATTACCGAGTTATTTCTTCTGTTGCTGCGTTAAATAATTGATCAACTTCATTCATAAATGTTAATATATTTAGAATTGAGTTAGTTGACACAAAATCACAGTACGCAGTTTACGTAAGAATCATAATAACAGCATAACATATAATCATTATAATTGTATACTGTTTAATCTAGACATAGATTTAGAACTTATATGCATCAGAAAGATCAAATCCAGAACAGTAGCCTCACGGACATGATGTCTGGTGTTGATAGTGACCAAGTTACGTGTGGTGTCCCTACAGGATACGGGCACATGTACCCTGCCACGTCCGGGGGGCGGATCTTCTGTATCGTGTACGCCTTCGTCGGCGTCCCCTTCAACGGCATCCTCGTCGCCTCCCTCGCCGACCTCTTCTCCTCCAAGGTGGGTCAAGACCTGCTAGGATTCAGCGCGAAATTATGCCCTTACGCCGTCCGTACATCTTGGACTGGTGGGTACAGCAACGGCCGCGCCTCTTGCAGGGTCGGCGTTCAGGCCCCGTTGGGCACAGTTTCATCCTTTCGTCCTCATGTTCCGGCTCCAGGTTCTCATATCCCAGCTCCTTGTCCTCATATCCCAGCTCCTTGTCCTCATATCCCAGCTCCTTGTCCTCATATCCCAGCTCCTTGTCCTCATATCCCAGCTCCTTGTTCTCATATTCCACCTCCTTGTCCTCATATTCCAGTTCCTAGGCCTCATATCCCACCTCCTTGTCCTCATATCCCAGCTCCTTGTCCTCATATCCCAGCTCCTTGTCCTCATATCCCAGCTCCTTGTCCTCATATCCCACCTCCTTGTCCTCATATCCCAACTCCTAGTCCTCATATCCCAGCTCCTAGTCCTCACATTCCAGCTCCTTGTCCTCATATCCCAGCTTCTTGTCCTCATATCCCAGCTCCTTGTCCTCATATACCAGCTCCTTGTCCTCATATCCCAGCTCCTTGTCCTTATATCCCAGCTCCTTGTCCTCATATCCCAGCTTCTTGTCCTCATATCCAGCTCCTTGTCCTCATATCCCAGCTTCTTGTCCTCATATCCCAGCTCCTTGTCCTCATATATCAGCTCCTTGTCCTCATATCCCAGCTTCTTGTCCTCATATCCAGCTCCTTGTCCTCATATCCCAGCTTCTTGTTCTCATATCCCAGCGTCTTGTCCTCATATCCCAGCTCCTTGTCCTTATATCCCAGCTCCTTGTCCTCATATCCCAGCTTCTTGTCCTCATATCCCAGCTCCTTGTCCTCATATCCCAGCTCCTTGTCCTCATATACCAGCTGCTTGTCCTCATATCCCAGCTTCTTGTCCTCATATCTCAGCTCCTTGTCCTCATATCCAGCTCCTTGTCCTCATATCCCAGCTCCTTGTCCTTATATCCCAGCTCCTAGTCTCATATCTAAGCACCTAGTCCTCATATTCCAGCTCCTTGTCCTCATATCCCAGCTCCTTGTCCTCATATCCCAGCTACTTGTTCTCATATCCCAGCTCCTTTGTCCTCATATCTCAGCTCCTTGTCCTCATATCCCAGCTCCTTGTCCTCATATCTCAGCTCCTTGTCCTCATATCCAGTTCCTTGTCCTCATATCCAGCTCCTTGTCCTCGTATCCAGCTCCTTGTTCTCATATCTCAGCTCCTTGTCCTCATATCCCAGCTCCTTGTCCTCATATCTCAGCTCCTTGTCCTGATATCCAGCTCCTTGTCCTTATATCCCAGCTCATTGTCCTCATATCCTAGCTCCTTGTCTTCATATCTCAGCTCCTAGTCTTCATATTCCAGCTCCTTGTTCTCGTATCCCAGCTCCTTGTCATCATATTCCAGCTCCTAGTCCTCATATCCCAGCTCCTAGTCCTTATATCCCAGCTGCTTGTCATAATATCTCGGCTCCTTGTCATAATATCCCAGCTCCTTGTCCTCATATCCCAGCTCCTAGTCCTCATATCCCTGCTTCTTGTCCTCATATTCCAGCTCCTCCTTATATCCCAGCTCCTTGTCCTCATATCCCAGGTCCTAGTCCTCATATCCCAGCTTCTTGTCCTCATATTCCAGCTCCTTCTCCTTATATCCCAGCTCCTTGTCCTCATATCTCAGCCCCTAGTCCTCATATCCCAGCTCCTTGTCCTCATATCCCAGCTCCTTGTCCTCATATCTCAGCCCTTAGTCCTCATATTTCAGCTCCTTGTCCTTATATCCCAGCTCCTTGTCTCATATCTAAGCACCTAGTCCTCATATCCCAGCTCCTTGTCCTCATATCCCAGCTTCTTGTCCTTATATCACAGCTCCTAGTCCTCATATCCCAGCTCATTGTCCTCTTATCCCAGCTCATTGTCCTCATATCCCAGCTCCTTGTCTCCATATCCCAGCTCCTTGTCCTCATATCCCAGCTCCTTGTCCTCATATCCCAGCTTCTTGTCCTCATATCACAACTCCTAGTCCTCATATCCCAGCTACTAGTCCTCATATCACAGCTTCTTGTCCTCATATCCCAGCTTCTTGTCCTCATATCACAACTCCTAGTCCTCATATTCCTGCTACTAGTCCTCATATCACAGCTTCTTGTCCTCATATCCCAGCTCCTTGTCCTCATATTCCAGCTCCTAGTCCTCATATTCCAGCTTCTAGTCCTCATATCACAGCTTCTTGTCCTCATATCCCAGCTCCTTGTCCTCATATCCCAGCTCCTTGTCCTCATACCCCAGCTCCTTGTCCTCATATCCCAGCTCCTTGTCCTCATACCCCAGCTCCTTGTCCTCATACCCCAGCTCCTTGTCCTCATATCCCAGCTCCTTTGCCTCATATCCCAGCTCCTTGTCCTCATACCCCAGCTCCTTGTCCTCATATCCCAGCTCCTTGCCCTTATATCCCAGCTCCTTGTCCTTACGAGATGCGTAACTCTTCACTCGGTCTTGAAGGCTCAGTTAGTGTTTACAAAATAAGTTACGAGCTGCGGGGCGCTACGACCTCGTAGTGCCTCGGAGCCCGTTTTCTTTCTTTAGTAAACACGGACTAAGGTATTATGATGCTCTTAAGAGGCACAGGTCCGCGGAACCTCAAATGATCCTTGAGACTGTGACTAGTTTTCCCTGTGGTTATCTGGCGGTGGTTCCGAGGATCAACATCTCCCGTGGCCCGGTCTCTGGCCGGGGATTGTTGATTGGTGGTCTGGTCAAGCAGGCTGTTGGAGGCGGCTGCTCGCAGCCTGATGTGTGAATCACAGGCTGGTTGATCAGGTATCATTTGGAGGGGTTTATCGAGTAGTCTTGAACACTGTGAGAGGTAGTCATGGGTGTCACAGTAGTCATGGGTGTCACAGTAGTCATGGGTGTCACAGTAGTCATGGGTGTCACAGTAGTCATGGGTGTCACAGTAGTCATGGGTGTCACAGTAGTCATGGGTGTCACAGTAGTCATGGGTGTCACAGTAGTCATGGGTGTCACAGTAGTCATGGGTGTCACAGTAGTCATGGGTGTCACAGTAGTCATGGGTGTCACAGAGTCATGGGTGTCACAGTACTCATGGGTGTCACAGTAGTCATGGGTGTCACAGTAGTCATGGGTGTCACAGTAGTCATGGGTGTCACAGTAGTCATGGGTGTCACAGTAGTCATGGCTGTCACAGTAGTCATGGCTGTCACAGTAGTCATGGCTGTCACAGTAGTCATGGGTGTCACAGTAGTCATGGCTGTCACACTAGTCATGGCTGTCACAGTAGTCATGGGTGTCACAGTAGTCACCAGTATCACAGTAGTCATGGGTGTCACAGTAGTCATGGGTGTCACAGTAGTCATGGGTGTCACAGTAGTCATGGGTGTCACAGTAGTCACCAGTATCACAGTAGTCATGGGTGTCACAGTAGTCATGGGTATCACAGTAGTCATGGGTGTCACAGTAGTCATGGGTGTCACAGTAGTCACCAGTATCACAGTAGTCATGGGTGTCACAGTAGTCATGGGTGTCACAGTAGTCACCAGAATCACAGTAGTCATGGGTGTCACAGTAGTCATGGGTGTCACAGTAGTCATGGGTATCACAGTAGTCATGGGTATCACAGTAGTCATGGATATCACAGTAGTCATGGGTATCACAGTAGTCATGGGTATCACAGTAGTCTTGGGTGTCACAGTAGTCTTGGGTGTCACAGTAGTCATGGATATCACAGTAGTCATGGATATCACAGTAGTCATGGATATCACAGTAGTCATGGGTATCAAAGTAGTCATGGGTGTCACAGTAGTCACCAGTATCACAGTAGTCATGGGTGTCACAGTAGTCATGGGTGTCACAGTAGTCACCAGTATCACAGTAGTCATGGGTGTCACAGTAGTCATGGGTGTCACAGTAGTCATGGGTGTCACAGTAGTCATGGGTGTCACAGTAGTCATGGATATCACAGTAGTCATGGGTGTCACAGTAGTCATGGGTGTCACAGTAGTCATGGGTGTCACAGTAGTCATGGGTGTCACAGTAGTCATGGATATCACAGTAGTCATAGGTATCACAGTAGTCATGGGTATCACAGTAGTCATGGGTATCACAGTAGTCATGGGTGTCACAGTAGTCATGGGTATCACAGTAGTCATGGATATCACAGTAGTCATGGGTTTCACAGTAGTCATGGGTATCACAGTAGTCATGGGTATCACAGTAGTCATGGGTTTCACAGTAGTCATGGGTATCACAGTAGTCATGGGTGTCACAGTAGTCATGGATATCACAGTAGTCATGGGTATCACAGTAGTCATGGGTGTCACAGTAGTCATGGGTATCACAGTAGTCATGGGTGTCACAGTAGTCATGGATATCACAGTAGTCATGGGTATCACAGTAGTCAGGGATATCACAGTAGTCATGGGTATCACAGTAGTCATGGGTGTCACAGTAGTCATGGGTATCACAGTAGTCATGGGTGTCACAGTAGTCATGGGTATCACAGTAGTCATGGATATCACAGTAGTCATGGGTATCACAGTAGTCATGGGTGTCACAGTAGTCACCAGTATCACAGTAGTCATGGGTGTCACAGTAGTCATGGGTGTCACAGTAGTCATGGGTGTCACAGTAGTCATGGGTGTCACAGTAGTCATGGATATCACAGTAGTCATGGGTATCACAGTAGTCATGGGTATCACAGTAGTCATGGGTATCATAGTAGTCATGGATATCACAGTAGTCAGGGATATCACAGTAGTCATGGGTGTCACAGTAGTCATGGGTATCACAGTAGTCATGGGTGTCACAGTAGTCATGGGTTTCACAGTAGTCATGGATATCACAGTAGTCATGGGTGTCACAGTAGTCATGGATATCACAGTAGTCATGGGTGTCACAGTAGTCATGGGTTTCACAGTAGTCATGGGTATCACAGTAGTCATGGGTATCACAGTAGTCATGGGT